CTACCTATGCTGAGTTGCTAAGACAATGTTATATGGTTGAGAATAGTTTAAAGAGAGTTCAAGAAGAGAGAGAGATGTGAGTAGGATAAGCCAAAGGGACCAAGGAAGACCAAGTCAACAAATTAGGCCTAGACCACAACCCTTCAAGGGGAAACAAGTGCAAAGTACTAGACCTAACATACCTCCCTCGTGTCGTAGCTGTGGTAAGAACCATTTTGGGAGATGTACTAATAGAGGACCGAGATGTTATCAATGTCAAGGAATGGGCCATATAGCAAAATATTATCCTCAGAATAGGAATCAGATGCAAGGGAAGAGTATTGGTCATGTGTATACCTTGGATGCAAAGAAGGCCAAGGGTGACAACTCTTTGATTGTGGGTATGTGTTTTGTGAATGGACATCCTTGTTTTGTATTGTTTGATCGTGGATCAACATATTCTTTTGTGTCAATGCAATGTATGAAGCGACTTAGGTTGCAAGCTATCACTTTGTCTCATCCCATGGTGGTTACAACCGCCATGAATGAGATGGTCGAAACACCTTTGATTTGTGAAAACTGTGTGTTATTGGTGGATGGTATAGTTTTTTAGATTGACCTTATTTGTTTGCCGCTAAAGAAGGTTGATGTAGTCTTGGGGATGAATTAGCTCTCTGCTAATTCAGTGTTCATTGGTTGCAAGGAGAAGTTAATCATCATTTCGTCTAGGGAAGCTACTATGAATGATCTATTTAATCAATTAATTATTAAAAAAAACAAAAGAGAAAATAAAGAAAAAGTAGTATAATTAAAAAAAAAAGAAGAAAAAATGAGAGAGGAAAAAAAAGGTACGGGCCGCGTGGGCCCCACAGATCTTCTTCTTCCACTTTGCAGGAATGTTGGAATGATGCAGTATTAGTAAAAGAGTAACATTGCAAATGATATCATCAAAGATCAATATGTAGAATTTCAGTATCACTAAAATGCGATCGAATTTGACGAACCAATATACTGTTATAACCAGAATTTCGCCAAGAATTCACATATGCCATTAGAATTGCGAAACAGGTCAAGAATTATATGAAAAAAAATCAAAAAGTGACGTGAAAATGAGCAAAGATTGGCTCGATTAAGCTAAATTATACATCCATTTGCGAAACTAATTTCATATTCAAAATCAGCGTGAAAAATCGTTTCAAATGGTATATAAGCTTGCACAAAAAGGTTTAGATTCATGATTTTTCCATTTTTGAGTTTATGTGTTCATGAGTAAAAATTTATAGAGTTTCAAATTAGCACTAAAATATGAAGTTAAATGATGAACCATGATCAAAATAGGTGCAAAAACTCAACCACGCAAAGAAATCGCGTAGATTACATCGGTTAAAGCTTACTTGAACGGAAATGCTTAAGCTCACTCCTACAACAATGGTGGACGTGGTGGCTCACCAATCAAGCTCTGACAAAGGTCCAAACGAGCTTCTAGTTCAAAAAAATTGTAGATTTCGAATCCTCTCAACCTCATCTATTCAAATCCAAGCTCAATTTCAAGATTTGGGAAAATTCAAAAATCAAGTTCAAAATCAAACTAAACCACTGTTTTTCATTTCATCCACTTAGGCCCGTGATATGGTGATATTTAAGTAGGCTAAGATGAATGTGATTGAATTCAAATTTGTGTGAAATGTGAAGGTGAGGTTTGGAGGGAGTTAGAATGTGAAAAATGAAAATGAAGAATGGTTATGATTGCACCAATTAGTGATCCATGTGAAAAAGTGTTTAATCAAGGGTCAAGATTGCATCTAAGTATATTTGTTGAAGTTAATTTTCTGCTGAAATGAGATTGAAATTTGGTTATGGTTTTCTGTTGTTTGAAGTGGTTTTTGGTTTATGAAAACCATGTGGTCCAAAGTTGAACTTTGATGCATGTATGCATGTTATAACATGAATGAGTGATGATTTGGTGTAGAATTTTATTACAACATTGCTTGATTATCATGTTACTATGCTTATGTTTATGCTTATGTTCATGTCATATTGGATTTTTATGATAAAACATGGTTTTGTATGTCAAATGAACATGTTAATGAAGCATGACATGATGGCTTGATGATGAGACAATGATCATGGAAATGAAAGCATGAATTGTAACATGGTATTAAGATGATGATATTGTATGATGATATTTAAAGGAAATAAACTTTATTTTTTATGGATTTTATTAAAAATAAAAGTATGCATGGTCTATGATTTGAATGAAAACTGGTTAATGGTATGATGTAAAAAAAATTAAATTTAACTGTGATGTTTGTTTATGAATGAGACTCAAATATGAATGCAAATGTAAATTGGTTCAAAATATGATAAAGAACAAATAATAGTGTAGTTGAATTTTGTTGACTTTTCATTAAGGTGTCACGTGACTTCTAAAAAATGCAAACAAACAAAAAAAGAATGCTATTGATATGACAAGAAAGAAATAAGTTTAACAAAAAAAACTGTGCATATGATAAATGGATGAAATGATCAAGGTTCGAAAATGGGGTATGAAAAAAACCAAGTAGTGCCTCTGGTCTAAGTACCATAGGCAATGAGGGGTTCTGAGCGATGGCTTTCCTTAATGGAATGGTGGAGTATATTCGAATAGCGGGAGAGGTTCACTACTACAGAAAAGGCATATAACAACGGTTGGGAAAGATATATAATCACACGGGATATGGCGTTGTTAAGTAGCGTGTGGTTGTATATGAATTATTTACAATCACGGTCCAATACCCGTGGTAGAAAACTGGAAAGCGTGCTACCTATAATCACAATTATTTTAAATACCCGTTGTTGTATGTCTTTTAATAAATAAAAAATGCAGCATTAGAGCTACCTATAATCACAGTTATTTTAAATACCCGTTGTTGTATGTCTTTTAATAAAATTAAAAAAAAAATTGCAGTATTAGAACAAGAACAATAGCAAGAACAACAAGAACATCAAGAACAACAAGAACAACAAGAACATCAAGAACAACAACAAAAACAAGAACAACAATAACAACAATAACAAGAAAAAGAAGAAGAAGAAGAAGAAGAAGAAGAAGAAGAAGAAGAAGAAGAAGAAGAAAAAGAAGAACAAGAACAACAACAAGAACAACAATAATAACAACAAGAACAATAAGAAAAACAATAATAAAGAAAAGAGCACCAACAACTAACATTGCTAACTCGAATCCATACTTTTCATGTCTCATTCAAGTTGTAGAAGAGATGATGGAGTTTTGAAATTTGTTAATGAAAGAAATGATGCTTTCGAGTTTTTTTTATGAAAGAAATGTTGTCTTCGAGTTTGGTTTAGTGGAGAAATAGAGTATCGTAAATGAAAGATGATGTTTGGAGGTAGAAGATGTAGTTTGTCTAAGTTGGAAGTTCGTCTAAAATTTAGGTTTCACGCGGATCACTAATAGTAGTGTCTTGACCGTTGATAATCACTAAATGGACGACCAAGATTTGTTTAAGGACAGTGAATCAACTCAATAAGCACGCCACCTATAATGTTGGTGTTGGGACTTGAAAAAATAAGTAAAAAACCAAAAATGTTGGTGTTGGAACTTGAACCCATAACCAGACGCTACCTATAATCACAGTTTTTTAAATACCCGTGGTGAAAGGTCTCTCAGAATTTTGAAAAAATAAGTAAAAAACGCTACCTATAATCACGGTTTTTTAAATACCCGTGGTAAAAGGTCTGTCAGCATTTTAAAAAAATAAGTAAAAAACCAAAAATGCTGGTGCTGGGACTTGAACCCATGACCAGACGCTACCTATAATCACAGTTTTTTAAATAATCGTGGTGAAAGACCTCGTTTTTCACCACGGTTAGAATTTTAACCGTGATTAAAATTATTTTAATAAAATAAAAAAATTGCACGCTCCTAAGTATCACATATTGCTATGGTGAATAGGAAATCGTTGTTACTTTGGCATTGTTGTTTACGCGTTTTGTAGTACTGGTTAGAAGATTCTTTCAGACGTTCTAGGTTGAGATGGATCTAGACTCGACATATCGGACAAAGAGTTCACCAAGACTTGATCACTATTGTTGTCTGACGAAGCGAGTGGCTCTGGAACCTGCCATTGCTAGTGGATCTGGTGGAGATCTAAGGAGCGGTGTTGATTTTAGATCGGTGGCAATCGAGAACAGAGATTTGTAGTTCAAATTCAAAAAGAAATGAGTGTCTAATTTGAGGAATTTTATGCTCACTAAATCGTGATATGAATGTCCAAATATGGAAAACACGATAATCAAATGTCGATTTCCACATACGGCGTCACTGTTACACAAGAAAACAACAATTGATAGTTGATCGAAGATTGCAAATTGAACGATGAACTTTTCCTCTCGATTTTCAGCTCAACCGAAGAAATGTGTCAAATAAAAAATTTTAAAAATAAAATGCTCTAAAATGTAATTGTTATAATTCGAATAGGGTTGATCAAACTATTTTTCTCGATTACCAATTCTATCAAGAAAATAAATAATATTTTAAAAAGAAATTGAAATATAACACTCCTATAATTCACACGTGAGTCATTCGTTGTCTAAGCTTTGTTATAAAATATATAATTTATGAAAAACAATATTGATATTAAAATTTAAAAGTAAAATCACATTAGTGGCGAGAAAAGGATTGAAGTGACACACCATAAAAATACATTGTATCAAAAATATGTAATCTATAAGTTGTAGAGCAAACAATTGCTTTTGATTCTTCTCTCCCTAACATTTGTGATTAATTAGAACAACAACATTTAGACGAGATTTCTATAACACAAAATAAAATAAAGTCAAATCATTTTTGTGTAACCTATAAGCTATTTTCATAAATTATTCAGAAGTGTTTACGAAAATAAGCTAAAATATTCTTATGAATATGTCATAAGTTATTTTTATTAATTTTCTCAAACACTCTTAAAAGTGTTTGTGTCATTAAATATACTCAAATAAAATTAAACTTTATTTAAACTTAAATTCTATTTAGATTCATTTTCAATTTCTGCTACAGACCCAGATCCGAAATCTGTAATAGAGATATCGGTTAATGAATCTCCTTTAGATGATCTTCTTGAAGAAGGCTTTCGCACGGAACCATCTTCTGAAGTCTTGGATTTTCTCCGATGGGTTTTGCCCGATGGAGCATCGGATGATTGTGAATCAGGGTCGTGATTTGAGCCACGACGATGTCGTCTATGTCGAGAACCACCCGAGGAGTCTTGTGCTGAGCTTTCTGCAGATGGATCCGATGATCGGAGATGGCGGCGCGTGTGTTTCTTGGTCGTTGAGTTGGCTTCAGTGTCAATTGATTGGTGTCTTGATTTTGGAATTAGATGTCGAATCTTTGATGATTTTTCTTTTGGATTTGATGATTTGTTATTGTCTTCTAAAAAAGAAAAACTTAATAGTTGTTATATATTAAACAAACATATAGAAAAATTAAAGAATTGTTGTTAGTCAATGAGTATAGTTAATATTGTTGTTCATATATGCAACATATATACAAACATCGACTATGACCCTGACACAAACAATAATTGAAAAAATTATAGACGTGTTAATGTCGGACACTATCATGAATAAAATTATAGACGTGTTAATGTCAGACACCAGTATGAATTGAATACATGCATAATGACATAAGATAAATATATATACATGCTAACCTTCATGTGTCTCAGTAACGTCTATTGTTCCAGATGGATTTGTTCCTTTATACTCATTCATCTACATAAGTTTACAAAATTCACACATGATTAATTAGGCTATATAAAAGAGAATTAAGAACTAATTAAATTACAAGATATGAGAGATTAATTATGAAAATATGTACCCAGCTAGGTGCATTTGCTGAAGGATCATCTGATCCAATATGTGCTACATGTTTTACATCTGTTGGGAATCCAATTTGAATTTCATCTTCTTTCTCATCTGCAAAAGAATCATTACACCATTAATCACCACCTCACAATACATAGTTTTCATATTTTAACCATAGGGGTGAGTTCTTTTAAAATAAACATGATGTTAATTAATTTTTAATTCTTTAAATCATTCAAAATAAAATTATTTAGAAAAAACAATGTAGTTATCAAATAATCAATAGTAATCAAATTTGAAAAACCCTATCAACCAAGTTTCAACAAGAAGGAGATAGGTGATTACAAAAAATTTACAAAAGTTTGATTAAAGATTACATAACTATATTATTTATATACCTGAATTCCAATTCAAATTCTAAATTAAATTAAGCTCTTCCTCTATCAGCTTTCTTCAAATTCCTTTCCCCTTTCTTATACAGACAAAATAGATAAAAACAAACAAACTTGGAGATGCTTAATAAAATCCATGCATGGAGGAAGATAATTAATTGTTCTTAATTTTTCATTAAAAATTTCTATGAGAAAGGAGATTATGTTACTTACCAAATATTTGTGAAATGTATCTAAGTCCTTTAAGAAGGCCTTTCACCTTAGTCGACATTAATTATCAGAAGGAAAAAAACTCTTCTTGATATATTTGCACCAAAAACCCTAGGTGTTTATGCTTCAATCTTCAATCTTCAATGAAACCAACTAAAATTATATTCCTGTAAATCAAATTATTACATTAGAAATCTTCTTTGTACCATTCAATCAAATTCTCTAATAACTAGGTAAAATGTAATGGATGAAAATGAGTTGGAAAAACAAAACCTACCTTGATGTATCTTTGAGAAGAAATGTAAAAAAAAAAAATTACACACAACATGACTTAATAGGCCTAGCTCCAACTAATGTTGAAACAGAAAACCTTAAGATGCATGAAGGTGAGTGAAGAAAACATAAATACAAAAGGGTGAATGAGATGTCATGCAAAAGAAGAGATGAGCATGCTTCTTGGTTGGTTTGTTTTTTCTTTCCAAATTTTAATTTTGTGGGAGGAAGAAACCAACCAAGAAGAGGGAGACTTGAGGGTGGAATGAAAAATCTCAAAAGTGAAAAATTGAAGAGAAGTGGTTTTTCATCGTTCCAAACCTTCTACCGGTTTAGAAACAAATCAAAACCAATAGCTCAACGTTTTTTTAGGTGAGAGTACAGATATACAAACACTACAAATTTTCAGGTTTAATTGCTATATTTGGGCTTAAAGTTTTTGGATTAATAGCTTTTTACTAATGAAAGCACGAGAAAAAAGGTTCAGATTAGCATGTTTGGTGAACCATAAAAAAACCTAATATTCTTTCATATTTTATTAATTATATAAAGAGAAAGAATAGTTGGACATTATTATTATTATTATTATTATTATTATTATTATTATTATTATTATTATTATTATTATTATTATTATTATTATTATTATTATTATTATTATTATTATTATTAATATTATTATTATTATCATCATCATCATCATCATCATCATCATTATTATTATTATTATTATTATTATTATTATTATTATTATTATTTATTTAATTAACAATGGTTCGACTAGAATGTCAAGGAAAATAATAGGTGGGGGTCAGAAACATCATTTTGGCGGGATTTTTTTGGATAGGATGACCATTGAAGAGTAGGTCATGAAGAGGAGAGGTGGATAATGTGGAATGGTTTTTTTTAAGAAGAAACCTCTTCGAGTGGGAGGCTAATATGTTGCAATATTTAATTAGAGAAATTGGGTTAGTTTCATTTCGACCTGGGAGAACAGATAGTGTTGTATGGCTTGTAGACTGTCGAACTATTATTATGTTAAATCTGCATATTCCTTTTTTTATCGGATGACAACAACTCAACGTCACAAGCGCTTTACAATCCTATGTGAAATAAGTTTGCCCCGCTCAAAGTGCCGGTATTCGTGTATGTGGAAAACTATTCAAAATAGAATTCCCACAAAAGAAACATACGAGTTAGCAAAGAATTTTAAGCACGAAAACTTGAACTTGTGCATAAGGGTGTCGATCGATTGAGTCTATAACACATATTTGTTGGAGAGTCCAGAAAATTTGGGAATACCTGGAACTAATGTTGTAGGACCAAAAGAGAGAGATACCACATTTCAATGCAAAATCTTAGATGTTAGGTAAATGGTTTCTCTCTCTTATAAATCCAACATTCCACTCATTCATAGAAAATGTGGGACTGTTGGGGAGTCTATAAAAGTCTGGAACATCAATGAGACTAATGCTCTAAAACCACGAGAGAGAAACCATATCTCAACACAAAACCTTAAGGTGTTAGGTAAATGGTTTCTCTCTCTTATAAATCCAACATTACACTCATTCATAGGCAATGTGGAACTTTAATCACTCACACTTACACCCAAATAATTTCTTTTATTGCATATTTGTGTTTTAGGTATGGACATACATATTTAAGTGGATGGGGTGTGTTGGGAAAAAACAAACAAAGTATAGAAAAAAGAAAAACAAAATCACAACAAAAGAACATAATGTGGAAACTCCAAAATCGGAGAAAAAATCACGGCCTTTGTCAATAGACAACCAGAGAATAACATTGTGTGAAAAATGTTACAACACATAATATACCCTTAACTAACCCAGACCCCCGGTATGCTCACCTCCTCTAAAACAAATATTTAACTACATATCACAACACTCTAATACAAGAGTATAAAAGAATAAATAAAGTCAAATACAAGCTTAAAGTGCTTTTGACTGGTGAATCTTGGAATGAAGAACTTGAATCCTATATATAGTTTTGGACTCTCTCTTCCTTCATAAAACTAAACGATGTAGAACTTAAAATAACTTGTATCATATATATAGTCGTGGTCTGTCTCTTCATTCACAGAACTAAGTAATGTGGTCACTACTAAAAAAAGACATTTGGTTAAATGATTTTACATTAGATTTCAAGATATATGATATGAAAAATATTTCTTAAAGAATTTTACATCAGATTTCATAACAATATGAAATGAAAAATATTTGATTTAGGAATTTTACATCAGACATTTATTTCCACTGATGTGAAAAATAACGCGTTGGCAGTTTCGTAAATAATATAAAATTTTGTTATAAAGGATTTCACATCGGGCCTAGATTTGCACCCGATGTGAAATGTTCACTGATGAAAAAATAACAAGGTGGTAGTCTTGTAAATAATATGAAAATTTGTTATAAATGATTTCACATCGGGCCTGGATTTGCACCTGATGTGAAAAGTTCACTGATAAAAAAATAACAAGGTGGCAGCTTCGTAAATAATGTGAAACTTTGTTATAAAGGATTTCCATCGGGCCTACATTTGCACCCGATGTGAAAAGTTCACTGATGAAAGGATTTCACATCGGGCCTGGATTTGTACCATTAACACAAAACCTTATTTTGCGGCAGCAATATAAAAACCTCACTCTACCAAACTCCTCTTTGTTGTGTGTATTCAAAGCAAAACCCTCACACATAGGCATAATTTCTCATGCCAGACAACGACACTCACCGTCAAGTCGAAGACCAAATAAAACGCCTTGCTAAATATCCTCAAGTCTTTCATGCTTTGGTTCTTCACTTACGCATTGCCAAAACCCCTAACGTCTGTCAATTCGTCGTCGTTCTCCTCCGTAAAAAAATCACTAGTCATTGGTCCAAACTCTCTCCTCAAGATAAACAACTCGTCAAAGATTCCCTCATCCAAAGTATCACCCTAGGACACAAGTTCATTCCTCAAACCACAACAATCACTTAATCACTTAGTCAATCAATTAATCACTTAATTAATTAATTAATCAATCTTGTTAAATGCAGTCCTCCTGTTTGGAAAGTGAGTGTGAATGTTGTTAGCATTGTTGCAAAGTATGTTGTTCTGTCAGATGAGTGGTCGGAGTTATTTTCGTTTCTCTTTCATAGTAGTCAGAGTCCTCAAGAGGATCAACGTGAATAAGTTACATTCTTCTAATTTACTTCGATTTTACTTCTAGTGTACATGTAGATGTATTGAAGTTAGATTAGAATAACTATGTAGCTTTGATGTTATGTGAAATTTGTAATAGAATTTGAGAATGAGACTATATCTGACCTAGTTTTGTTGATTTTGGAATGTTATTAGGTGGCATTGATTCTATTTAGTTCTTTAACTGAAACAATTGGGAATGCTTTTTGGTCGCATTTTGCAAATCTGCAAGCTCTTTTACTTAAGTGTTTGCAGGATGAGACTAGCAACCGGGTTTGAGTTGCTTCTCTCAAGTAAGTTAGAATCTTTTATTGGTTCAATTGTGTGTGTACAAACTTGAAAGAAATGATTTATTATAGTGTTTTGTTTTTGCTTATGAAAAATTATGCTAAATTTTTCCAACGCGGTGGGATCTTTTATGGAATTCACTCATGATAGGGATGAAGTGGTATGTATATGTCAGTGTTGTTCATGTGATTGGAATATTTATTGTTTCTGTTACAAACTTGCAACTCCCTCTTCGTGAATCATCCAGCGCACACAGTTGAAAGAACACGCATCACCACCGTGAGGTCCACCATGACATTGGTGAGTTCCCATTTTCTGGGTTGCGTATTTGATCCTTAAAAGTACACAAGTTGTACCAATTTCCTCTTCTGCAAGTTTTGTGCTCACATAAATAGTGCACCAAGGGTTAGGCTTCATTGATGTTGAGTTAGTTAGTAATCGCAGGGGCAACCATTTGATTCAACCATGCTTATATATACCAGAATATAAAGTAGATCATTTAGGAAAAGTAATAACATTCATGAGCCTTGCACTGATTGGATCCAACCATGATATTTTTTCCTAAGTATGCAAGGTGGTTGTGTGATGAATAAAGTGATTCAAATAAATGGGAAACTAAAGTGAAAAACATTGAAGCTTTGTGTTATTGTCAAGAGATTAAGTGCTAATAACGAGATGTAATAGGTGTATTTTTCACATCGGGCTATTGCCCGATGTAAAATGTCTTTGATTTACTACATTGCTTGACTTTACATCGGACCCATACCTGATGTAAGATGTGTTTTTCGCCCGACGTAAAAAGTATTTCCTGCACTAGTGGGGACTTCTTCAACATGTTTATTTTCAACCAACCCCAACAATCTCCACCTTGATTAAAAATTATACATAGGCTTCCATTGTCTTCACCGACAATCATACTTCACCATAAAGAGTATAGTCACTTGAACCTACACCACTCCAAGAATTTTTACATTTTCTTCACTGACAATCATAGTTTTAAAAAACTATCATACTCCACCTAAAGAAGAGTATAATTCACTTGAAGCTAAACCACTTCAAGAATTTTCACATTGTCTTCACTGGCTACCATAGTTTCAAAAAAACTATTATACTCTCCCATGAAGAATATATTTCACCTGAAGATAAATCACTCTAAGAATTTCACATTGTCTTCACTGACAATCATAATTTTAAAAAACTATCATAATCTCCCTAAAGAAGAATATACTTCACTTGAAACTAAACCACTTCAAGAATTTTCACATGTCGAAAACCGGGTTGAAACATCACTTCTACAAAATAGACCTTTCGTAACACCAATTTTACAACAGTCGTAGTGTTAAATGTGGTAATAGTTTATTTTTGGGCGTTTTTTATTACTAGAGGACATGTCACAACGGTCAAATGAAGCAACCGTGGTGAAAAGGTACATGGAGTGAAATGGTTCAAATTCCAACACCAACAATTAGCCATTTACTATGATAAAAATGTTATTGACCTTGTATATCACCATGGTTTTTATTACCAACCATGATGAAAAGTGATACTTTATTTATATATAAGAGAAATTATCTATCACTTCAGTACATAACAACCACCTCTCTCAAAATAAAACCCTAACAACTCTTTCACGTGTCTCTCTCAAAAAAGAAACCCTAACAACTCTATCACTCGTCTCTCTCACGTGGAAACCCCAAAACAAAACCATAACAACAAATCTTAGCAAATGGGTATTTACAAGTTTGCTTTCTCAATAGTTTTTTTTTTCAAAATCTGTTTCAATAGCTTGTTTCATGATGTTTGTACTTCCTTCTTGTTTTGACTTGTAGATATGGATGCTTCTTTCAATAAAAAGGACGAAGATGAATTTAGCCTTACAAACTTGTGTCAAAGATCCAAAATGACATCCATTTAAAATATACACAAGTTTGTAGATCTAAATTTATTTTCATCCATATTTCATTGACGACACACCATTATGAGACATGTATGGTATGTTTCTGAAACATTTTATGACTTGATATGTTCGTTGTATCGTGTTTGTTGTTGATGAATGTTATTGTTAATGTTTGTTTAAAAGATGAGTTTATTATATATTACGTGGTTTGAGTGTTTTTTCAATCCCTTATCGAATATATAATTTTCCAAACTGTATTAGAAAATTATGATATGATAAATAAAATTGTATTAGAAAATAAGTATACGTTCAATTCTTGACAAGAATTCTTCACACTGTTAACTGCATGTTGTTCCTTGACAGTTAGAACTTGATTTAATGATTGTAGATCTTCAACCACCCCTCTCTCCACCGCTAATTTTGTTTGCAATGTAAATAGTATTTTGCAAAAAGAATTAGAGGTGAAGGCAGAGGCGGTTAAAGAACTAGGATCATTAAACCAAGTTCTTAGTGTCAAAGAACAAAATACAGATAAGGACTTGAAGAACTCTTGTCTAGTATTGAACATGAACTTATTCTTCTAATATAACTTAATTTATCATATTATATTGTTCTAGTGCTGATTGGAAGGTTATACGTTTTGTGAGCATCAACGAAATAAGCATTCCACATAATTTTTAATAAACTCATATCTATATATCACAACGGTTGTTTAGCACAATCGTGGTTAAATATGTTGCATTAAAGAATATCACAACGGTTGTTTAAAGTAATAGTTGTGGTAGGTAGCGCGCTACATGGATATAATCACGGTCGCACGAACGTAGTAGAAATCATCATACATACAATCACGCCTTACCTCACAATGGTTTGACCAACATGGTGGTATCCCTTTTCTAACCATTGTGATATGTGTTTTCCATTATCGTGCATTATGGTGCAACTTCCTTGTTGACAGGAAGCTCTTCCACCACTGACATAATATTGCACCTTGTGTAATCTTGATTGTATCAACACATCTTTGACTTGAAATTTCCACAAGTCAAAAAAAATTCTTCCATCAATTTTCTCTAGCCTAAAGTACACAACAGAATTTGTGACTGCAACAACTCTTTCACAATGCTACCCTTCTTTTATGATGTGGAAGACCAGACAAAACTGCAACCACAAATCATACTAAGAACACTTATTCCTGAATCGAACCAAAAACGCTGTTACCGGTTGTTGGGAATAAACAAACAAAATATTGAAAAAAGAAAAACATAATCACAACACAAGAACATAACGTGAAAACTCCAAAACCGGAGAAAAAACCACGACCCGACAACCAAAGAATAATATTGTGTGAAAAATGTTACAACGCATAATATACTCTCAACTGACCCAGATCCACAGTACACCCACACTCTCCAAAACAAATATTTAACTACATCTAACAACACTATAATACAAGACTGGTGAATATTGGAATGAAGAACTTGAGTTCTATATATAGCCTTGGACTCACTCTTACTTCACAAAACTAAGAGATGTGGGATTTCAAAGAACTTATATCCTACATATAGCCTTGGATTCTCTCTTCATTCACAAAACTAAGTGATATGATACTTTTTTGACATGTATATTTTCAATTTTACTGCATTTTCTGGAGTGCTGTAGGGAAAAAAAAGTCTTGAGCTAGGTATTAACACCATCTTCTCGGGCCCAAGTAATCGAGAAAGTTAGTCAAAGGCTTGACTCCCTCTCTTTTTCATATAAAATGCGAAAGGATAGGACTTGGTTCGAGTAGACGGATCAGATGACGATTACTCGAAGCTTAAGAAAGGCTTCTTAGGCCCAAGTAATCGAAAAAGTGAGTCAAAGGCTTGACTATCTCTCTTTTTCACCCTTAATGGTGAAAGAAGTGAAAATGGTTCGAGTAAGATTGATCGGATGACGATTACTCGAAGCTTAAGAAAGGCTTCTCGGGCCCAAGTAATTGGGAAAGCGAGTCAAAGGCTTGACTATCTCTCTTTTCACCCTTAATGCGAAAGGATAGGATTTGGTTCGAGTAGACGGATTGGATGACGATTACTCGAAGCTTAAGAAAGGCTTCTCGGGCCCAAGTAATTGGGAAAGCAAGTCAAAGGCTTGACTCTTTATCTTTTTCATCCTTAACGAAAAAGGAATGGATACGGTTCGAGTAAGTTAATCGAATGACGATTACTCGAAGCTTAAGAAAGGCTTCTCGGACCCAAGTAATCGAGAAAGCGAGTCAAAGGCTTGACTCTCTCTCTTTTTCATCTTAAAAGAGATTGCGTAGGAAGAGCATTGAGCGATGGAAGATGGTTGAAGTATTTTAAGCGGATGAGGATTACTTGAAGCTTAAGAAAGGCTCCTTGGGCCCAAGTAATCCAGAAAGCGAGTCAAAGGCTTGACCCTCTCTCTTTTTCATCTTATATTAAGAAATATCTTTGATATAATTAGAGTGACTTATAGATGACGATTACTCAAAGCTTAAGAAAGGATTCTTAGGCCCAAGTAATCGGGAGAGCGAGCCAAAGGCTTAACCCTCTCTCTTTTTCATCTAAGTGTTTAAAAAAATAAGGTTCGCATTGTACGTCTTTTAAAGAAGACAATTGTTTGAACTTAAGAAAGGCTCCTTGGGCCCAAACAATCGAGAAGAAAAATCAAAGGCTCGATTCCAACTCTCTTTTCATCTTTATCGAAATTGTGTTTAAAATATGATTAAGTATATTAATTTGATTTGAGAAAATACCCGATGTGAATCGAGGTTTAAATTTAGGTGTTTGAACTAAACAATAAG